CCCCCTTCCCCTGGTTCGAGACGCCGTTTTGGAGGAGGAAGAAGTGGGCGAAGTTGGAGTTGGGCTGTGTCGACTGACCTCAGAATAAAACACCATAGAAGTAGCCATGATAAGGGTGGTCATATTGGGGACCTCCTGAGTCTCATGGTGGTGGTGGTGGGGGGATCGCATCGAGACCACCCTAAGCAGGGGGAGGGTAGCGAAATTTCGGAAAAAGTGCAAATGTCACGGTTGATCCGGGTGGGCATAGCAGTAAGCTTGTCCGAGCCTACTGCTATGACTTACTACCGCGCTGTTTCGAATTACGAACGCAGTGTCATCTCTGTCGATGCGTAACTAGTCACAGAGATGATGGAAGGGATTGGCTTAGTCACCTAATCCCTACCTTTGTCTTCAAAAGCATAGACTGCCACCGAATCGATGTGATACTTTGCTTGGAGGAAAAATTGGGGAAAATGAGCAAAAAGCACCATAAAAAGGGCTAAAATTCTTCTTGAGAAGTTGACCGCGATACGATGGAGAGACACAGCGCTGCGAGGAGAGCAAAAACACGAGAGAACACGTCGTACGCGAGAGGGCGCAGACGCCACGTATGCTGCGATTGATAGGGTAGCATTCGTAGCGGTAAAGGGCATTAGCGCCTTTGTGACGCACTTCGACAGTACCACCTTCTCTCTGACTGAAGTACAGATAGCCCACTCAAGGATAGGATTTCTATGCGGAGCTGATCGCGATCCTTCTCATATCCGCTGATATTTTGAAAGGACATTCTGTGAGCGGTGGCAAAGACAAATCGACAGACGAAGAGACTGACCTGCAGACCTGTGTATAAGCCAACATACCAAATTAGATGGTTTATGTAGTGGAGGGATATGGCACGTTGCAAAAAGTGAAGGGCCTTTTTACATACTCGTCAGCATACCATGTTCTTTTTTCTATGAATGGGAACCTAAGGAGGATTTTGATGTGATTTTCGAGATTTATACCCTTAGTTTTAAATATTGTATTTGATACAGGTATGCACACACTGCGAATCATGCTTGTGGCAATGTCTATAGTATTCGCTCTTTTGGCAATGGTCACAGGAACGGCGTGCTTTTTCTATCCTTTTCTTTTTGTAGTAGTAAGTGAAACCTCATGTCAATATGCGTATTTGCTATCATTACAAACCCAAGAGGAGCTCCCGAGATTTGCTTCACAATCAGCTTACATGTGAAGTAAACCAGAAATAATTCAGATTTTTGAATTTGTTAAATCATTGGCATTGTTTGCCTTTCTAACATTGAAGCTCAGTTGGCCTAGCAAATATAGAGCATTGGTTAAAGAAAAGAATGACAGTTGGGTTATGTTAGGTAGGTTTAACTTTTTTAGAGGTTTTGTCAATCAATCCGTCATATATAAGAAGGTTACTATGAATAGATGACTTTACAGGGCTGGAATCGCTACAGGATTATGCCAAAAGTACTAGGGAAGACGATGAACTTGTATATCTGTGGTGCTGCTTCTGTTGCTTTTATTTTGCTTTGTTGACGGTTACTCTTATCAAAAATATTACGGAATATCAGATGGATGAGGTGAATACTGTATCGCAAATATGCATCAACTTGCCGAGCAATGTTATACGCTAGAAGTATAAATGCTTACTCTATCACCTACCCCAGCTGGGTTTATTTATTTTTTATTTAAGTTTTGTAGATATTTTGCGTTGCTGCAAAGTAGCGTTCCCCATGAGCCTCAGACCAAAGCTTGACGCGCTGTTGCCTCAACTGAGTGAAGGACGCGCGTGTGTTAATTTCGCATTTGCAAAGAAGGGTTATCTGTCAAGTCAGGAACACTATTTCTATTTTACGAACTCACTTCTGCCTCCAGAATGACCCTCTTCCAACGATCCATCACTCAACATTCTCTTTCCACAACGACGTTGATGTGCATCGAGCAAATGTATAGCTAGTCAAAGGCAAGCCTCGGGATTAATTAGGTGTGGAAGAGCGTTGAGTGATAAATTTAGAGGTGATGATTGGTCTGGAAAAGAAGAAAAGCAAGAGAAACACCGATTACGCCTCGAACAAGGAGTCCTCTATTTCAGCCGCATTCCACCTTGGATAGAGAAGGGGCGCGTTGGACGAGTTTCACGAGCTTATGTAGCTCCAGTTGCTCCAGTGCCAATGACATTGAATCGCATGTAATCGCTGCCTGCAACTGCGCCCGCTTTTCAAGCAGCGTCACGTGGAAACCGACAGCGGAGGGCGGGGCTTGCGCACGAAGGAGTGGATTGCGCCTTCCAGCGTTCTTTGTCGCGTACTTTCAAGCCGCAAGAGGGATGCAACACCAAAGCTGCTCGATCGTCTACCACGCTTGGGAGACATAGGAGAGCGTACCTCAATCTTGAAGAATGCCTTTAAATAGGGAAATTTTCAAACTTTCCTCAAAAATATACGAAAACTTTCCATCCTTTCAATTGTTCGCTTCTTCTCGTTCGTCGCTCCGAAAACTCCAA